ATGTTCCCCTATTCTGTTTTGCTTGATAGTATCAGGTTCAAAAGTTTAGGCAACAGCTGTGAAGATAGTGGGATTCATTATGACGCCCATTCTGGTTGACTATTATCTACTTTTGAAGACCTATAATGTCTCCAATGTTTTGGTTTTGTTCTTTACTGTTTTGTTCAATTTTATTATAACTGATGATATAGGCAATTCTATTAGAGATAGCGGGAGGCATTATGGTAACCATTGTTGATCACCTTGTATTATGCTTTTACATGATCTATTATGTCCACCCTTTTGATTTGACTGACTCTGTTCTGTTATGTCACATTTGGTTCTACTCTCTTCCAAAAGAGTAATAAGAACTGTGGGAGCAACAAAACCCAAAATGTGTAATTGTCACTGTACAACAGAGAGGAAAAGAAAGTGCTCTAAATGATATAACTGCATGTATATTTAAGTGTATAAGATAGATAATGATATTACTGAGTTTTGTTGGATCATTGAACAGAACTGTTTGCAGTATCATTGTTGGAATGTCCACTTTATAAGCTTTAATTTTGTAACTTGAACAATTATTTCTAAGGTGACAATATGTAATCCATTAACTAGTGATTTCCTACTGTTTATTTTTTTCTGTAAATCTGTATAACTTGTACCCTTTCTCTGTTTTTCTTTTTCTCCCTAAATAAAATTTAAAAAAATAAAATAAAATAAAAGCCTTTAATTTTAAACACATCAGCCTTTGATTGCAGCTAGCAGGCAGGCATTTTGAGCAAGGCTCCTGAGGCCAGCATGCTCCTCTCTGCTTGGTGCGGGCCACAGTGTTCCTGGAGCCCAAGACAGCAGGAGGTGCGGGCTCAGGGTGGGACGCATACAATGCAGGGGTAACAAAAGAAAAGCCAGAGCTGGCTTTGCTGAAGAATGGGGTGAGCTGAGGGATGAGGGGCCGCCTCATCAGGCAGTGAAGGTAGCACAGGGACCCCTCCAGCAAAGTGGGGAGGAATATAGGCCTGGGAGAGGATGAAAGGTGACACCTCCCAGGTGACGCCAGGGATGGGAACTGGGCCACAGGTGAGCAGAAGGGATGACAGCAACAGATTGATATTTTCCAGCCATTAAATTCACCATTTAAAACACCCTGCAGGTGAAAGCAAAGCCTCGCCAGTGCAGTGGGATTCAAACTGCAGGAGGACTCATGAGCCCCTGGAGGACCGACTCTGACTGTTTCATTTTACAAGCAGGGAAACCTGAACAACTCTCTCCATATTGGGAGAGCCTCTCGCTGTATATTACGGCCCAGGCTGGCCTTGAACTCACAACCCTGCCTCAGCCTCCAAGTACTGGGATTATGGCGTGCACCACCAAGCCCTACATAGCTTGATCAATTCTTCAAGGTTCACCACTGCACAGGTACAAATTCTCTATGATGAACGGGACCTTCACTTACATCTAAAATGGGCCAATAAAACCTGACCGAAAACAAACCTTCACCACGCGCTTCTGAGGTGAGCCAACCCGTTTCACTCTCTCGGCTACCCAGGCAGGCTCCGACTCTTTACTTTGTGGCGGTGGAGACTGACCAGAGCCTGGCACCTGCACGGCAAGCACTCTGCCCGCCATCTGGCGCTGTATCTCTGATCCCGGCTCCACTTAGAGGCAAGGAGGCAGGTGGAGGGAGCCACAAGAAAACACTGTGCGTCAACACCAAGTCATGGGCAGGAGAGGATCCTGGCTGGTTAGTTCTAGCTCCCTGCTCATATGCACCCCAATATAGCCTGTCAGGAGGCCTGTGGGCACAGACCAGCACAGAACTCCTGCTTTCTGCAGTTACAGTCAGCAAACCGGAGCTTCCTGAGGCAGGACTGCTCCCTCTCCAGAGCTCCAGCTGGGCCCAGCTCACACAGATCCAGGCTTGTGCTCCACCCTGTACACTCTGCCTTCACAGCTGCTGCTCCTCCTGCCGGGACATCTCTGGTTAACCGAGGAAGCCTGAGCTCAAGGCCACATCCACCCGGCCACCCGGCAAGGGCTCTGGTCTCTAGGTTACTGCTGCTCCTACACAACCAACAGAGCCGTGTCCTGCAGAGCCTTATGAAGGATCAGGGCTCAGTGAGTACGAAGTAGCCCTGGGTAGATTCCTCCCGTGTGCGCAGGCAGCAGCCTCCCCAGGCTTGGGCCTGGGAGCGGCAGTGTGCTGTGAACCTTTCACTGTGAGCTCCTGCTCAAAGTTTCTGGAAGTGACCTCACTGCTCTGGAGACTCGAGGTCGAGTGGCCTCACTGGCTTGGCAGGCTGCCTGTGCTGCGTTTTCACACTGGCCCTCCGACCGGGGCGGACTGGCTCCAGGCAGAGCAAGGCATGCAAGGAGCAGAGGGCGGCCCCACCCAGCAAGGTGAGTTACAAAGATCCAAGCTCTGCTTGTGAAGGACACTGGAGATCGAATTGAAAAGCAGTTAGGGTCAAGGGGGAAGTGGTGGACACAGGGCCCACTGAAATATTTATGAATGAGGCCCAGGCCGGAGAAGCCAGGCAGTCCTGAGTCCACTGAGATTCTATCCATGCTCTGCCACCTAGTGGCAGCCAAGCAACATGCTGGCTTACAGAACACCTTCCTCTGGGCTCTGGCCAGAAGGGTCCTCTGAAGTTTCCAAGTTCTCATTTAAATGCCTACTGTCAGGCTCCCAGCTGATCACTGGCAGGCCAGCGGCAGGGTTGGAGGTCTGATTTCACTTCCAGGTCAGAGTCCAGCCAGGTGCCTGTAAGCAGGGTGGGGAGCGGACAGCAGGCACCCTCTGCAGCTCTGTTGCCCCAAGACACAGGGTGGAGGATGCAGAAGCCCTGTCCACCTGGACTTGCATGTTAGCTTTCAGGTAGACAAAACCAAAGGGACTGAGTTAGCAGAAAAGCAATTAGCTTCCTGAGACCTCTCCACCCCCTGGGAATTTAAATAATTAAAACCTGGAAGCCGCTGACAAGGAATTGAATCAAGCCAGACCCAGAATGCCAGCAGGGACCCTGTCCCTGGGGGATCACTTTTCTTGGCTGGAGAGCAGAGGCCTTGGCCAGGAGGGCACAGTGCAGAGAGGCACATCTGTGTGGCCAGAAGCCGCTCCTGCGTGCTGGGCAGGGCTGCAGGATGAACTTGAAAAGCTGTCAGCAAGCCTCTGCCGCAGCAGCACCAGCTCAGCTTGGCACCCTCATCCCCTCCTGGAGGAAAGACCCCCGTACTCCCCAGGGATGGCTCACCCCAAGAAGGGTAGAGCCCCCCAGAACTGGAGCTTCCAAGCCTGCCTGGGTCCTTCTTCAACACATACGAAGGAAAACAGACCAGCAGCAGGGCCTGGGCTAGGAAAGTGATGCTGCTTCCAGAAGTCAGCTCCTGTAGGGGCCATGCAAAGGCTCTCTTCGCACAAGTCCATCCCTGCAGTGAGGGCACAGGCTACTGAGCCACAGTGAAAAGCACCCAGGACCTCACGCTGTGTGTGGTGCCCGTGCCCTCAGCAGCTAAGCAAGTGCCACAGACTGGGCTGCCTCTGATGACTCAGGCATGGACGATACAGGCTGAGGGAAGGAAAGCAAATGCTCTCCTCTCCGTGGTCACCATCCACTGCCTTGGCCTGGGCAGCTCAAGGTCAGGCGAAGCACCGTGCTTCCTTCATGAGCAAAGGGCTAGGCAGGGGCCTGGGCAAGGTCCCTGCCACACATGCTCATGCAACAGAAATCAACTCTGTGGAGCAACCAGACTGCCAGGAAGGATGGCTGGGGCTGGGAGGAAAAGCAGGAGATGCTGGCCAGAGATCAGCATGGCCACACCGGGCCTCAGAGCACAACCCCTCTGAAACTAGCCCCTGGCAGGTACGTGAAGCAGACAGAGCTGTTAGAGGCGGACAGACCTGAGCTGACACACTGAGCAGTGACCCTAGGACAGTCCCTGCCTCTCTGCACGCTCCGTTTGCTGCTACAAAGGAGCACAGATGGACCTGGGTCTGCGTCTGTGGTCCCAAGGGCTCCCGCAGAGCTGCCTGGTGCGCTGGGAGCCAGCTCTGAGTTCTGACCATAGGACAGGGTCCCTGAGCCTGGACTGCATGTGGACACCCCATGCTCCGCTTCCTTCCCTGTGGAGCTGGAGCTTTGCTGTGTGGAGAGCAGAGGGTGCTGGCGACCTGCTCTGAGTGAAAAGCTGAGGGGCTGAGCCTCTACCAGGCGAGCCCAGACAGAAATGTCCACTGCTGTCCTCTCAGCACGTTCATGTGTGTGGAGGTGGCCTTAGGGACCTCTGACACTGCAACACCATGACATAGCACAGCTCACAGGGGCCAGCAGATGGCTGTCATCAACACCCGGCATAGGGACGCAGGGTCACAGACAAAAGCGGAGGCCAGGTCCCTACCTAGACCGGGAGGGAGGGGCCCTAGGGAGAGTTCACTGGGTGCCAGTCACTGAGCCGGACACCTGTTCACCCCCACTTCTCCTCTACCCTCCGTTTTCCCTTCCCCACTTTCCAGTGGGAGAACTCAGGCACAGAGATGGAGGAAGCAGTTGGAGGACAGGGAAGGAAGTACGACTATAGCCCGCCTGCTGCCCCTCTGCAGCCTGGGCAGAGGCTGCACCAGCCTGAGGCCTCACACACCCAGTAAGCCAAGCACAGTTCTCTGCAGAGCGAGAGCAGGAAAAGGAGATATTTTAGAGCCAAAGACCCTCACTGCCTGAGGCTGGCACTTTCTGGAATTAGAACACACACGGCTCAGCCTTGTAACTGCCGGGTACAGGGCGGCCCAGCACGAGCCTCCTCTCCAGACAAGGAAAGCCAGGCCAAACCTGGCCAGGTTGCCCAGACAAGGGCGGGACTTCTGCCCAGACCTCTCTGTACCATGTTGGCAAACACCTCCCGGAGAGTGGAAGGGAGACATTGAGAAAGTGAAGGCTGCACCGGAAACTAGAGGTTTGCTTTCCCAGTTTTCATGCTTTAAAGCACTGGACTTTAAAAACATGAAACACCTGCAGGACACTGACCAGTCAACAAAGAACTCCAGGTAGCCTTCCTCTGGCTTCTCCAGCTTTGGCGTTCCCATCTCCGCTTTCACCCCCACCAGGATGTCCGTGTGGCCCTGTGGACACAGGTGAGAAGGGTCCTTGGTCAGGTGGGGCAAACCCTGACTTCCCCTGCTTCAGGACAGACAGCCCTGAGGGCTCTGTTACGGTTGTCTAAAGGGATCCCTTGGGTAGGGAAAGACCCCGCTCTGGCTTTTGTGTGGTCTCCCCAGGGTTTCCCCACACCTCTGGGCATGAACGTGGCCACGGCACTCACCAGCTTGACCCTGGCAGACCCGCTGGTGTTGGATACCACGTCGGTCTCCACCTCAACGCTTCGGTAGTCCTCACAGCTACGGCCATCCACACGGAGGTCTTCCTGAGTCAACAACAGCCATGCTCACAGGTGGGACCACACGCCAACAGCAGCCGGCGAGACAGATCCCTCCTCCCCCCTGGAGAAATCCGCAGCACAACACCCCCTGTCCTCTGTGTGAGGATTCTGTCCTGGCTGTGACCAGTGCTGCTGTCTTACACAAGGGGACCTGGGCAAGCGGAATGACCCGTCCCAGGCCTGCAGCTGGTGTGGCCAAGCTGAGTCTCCACGCCAGTTGTATAACGGTGACCTCCGCAGAGCACACACAGCATGGTGCATATGCACCAAACGAGCAACACCTGGCCGCATGTCGGAAGTGGGAAGCAGGGCTTCCACATCTGCGGGGCTGAACACATGCCCAGAAGCACGTGGAGACAGCGAATCTTCAACAGGGCACACAGACCAAGGCCCAGCCACTTGTTCTCCTAACTAGTTTTACTTTGCCTGCAGCCACAGAGGGAAGCCGCAGAGGGCCACACAAGGTACTTCTGCCTCCTGTGTTCTCCCTGCCCCAGCCTTCGTTCCTTCTACCAGAGAAGGGTCCTAAAAAAACAAGATCTGGCTGGGAATTTAGCTCAGTGGTGTAAGCGCCTGCTTGGCAAGTGCGAGATCATGAGTTCGATCCCTAGTACAAAAAAAACAAACAGAAAACTAGGATCTCGGTGATAAGGTCATTGCCACTAGCCACCCGTTTCTAGACCTTTCCAGCTACAAAAAACATACATGTATGAGTAACTAACACCTCTCCCGCACAAGCGCATTTAATTCTGCACGTAGATGCCTACTGAAAAGCTATGAGTTCATACAGACAGCTCAGTTCCAATCTAATACCCAGGGCTCTTTCCAACTTTGCTTTCTTTCTTATCTGTAACCTCTAAGATAGGGAGAAAGCTGGCCCTCAGCCAGGTATAGTGGCCACTTCGATAATGCCAGCACTCTGAGAGGCAGATGCAGGAGGATTGCAAGTTCAAGGCCAAACTGGGCAACTTACACTGTCTCAAAATCTTAAAAGGGCTGGGAAGTAGCCCAGTACAATCAACCCCTGCTTCATTTGTCTGTCACACACAAGACACCAGGTAGTTCTCATTTCTTACAATCTTACTTCCACATTTGTTCAATCTTTCTATAAAGCAGTTTCAGAGCTGCTAAACTACATCCACAGGAGAAATAAGTTTACCAGTAGCAGAGTTGCATGTAGGGCTCCCTCTGTCTCTGGCCTTACTGTAGCCAGTCAAAACCTGTCACCCACATGTGGTTACAGTACTCAACTGTAACTCAGGCACTGTGTCTGTGGATGCTTGCTGAAGAGCATCTCTTATGCCTTAGTCCTTTCCACACTTTTGCTTTTGCATGGCCTTTCTAGCTCCCACATCACCTGCCACACCTCCATCACTCAGGAGCATGCCACAAAGGAGCTGAGAGAGGATCCAAAGAGAAAAGCCTCCGGGGTGGGGTAAGAGCCAGTTGAACATCCGGGTTATGGTCACAGCGTCCTTGGGGAAAGCCCACTGTGTTCACAGCTCTTCGGTAGCCACTCAGTCACTATCTTCCCTCGACAGCCAAGGCCAGAGGTAAGGGTGTGACCCAAAGCACACAATCCATAGGACAACCAGTTCTTCAGGGCAGGAAATACTAGTAGGCCAAACTAGCTCTCTTACTAGACTCCTCTATGATCTGGGAGACACTTCAAAGAAGAGTTAAAGAGGGGCTGCTGGGCTGTAATACCAGCGCATGGGAGGCTGATGCAGGAGGATCACTGCAAGTTTGGGGTCAGCCTGGGCTACACAATGAGCTCAAGGATAGTATGAACTAGCGAGATCCTGTCTTAAAAACAAAAGGAGGGGTGGCAGGTGATGATGTGGAAGCTGGAAAGGCCATGCAAAAGCAAAAGTATGGAAAGGGAAAGATTATACTAAGGCATAAGAGATGCTCTTCAGCAAGCATCCACAGAGACAGGAAGCACTTTGGCAGGGAAAAGCAGGGTTATTACCAGAGACAGCTACACCGAGTGCACAGTGGTGCCCATAAGAGCCATGTGGGACCTTTCTGGCTCTTGTCATGGATCTTTTCCTGAGACTACAAAGCTCATGGGATTGTGGGTTTGGCTTTAAATCCAAGTTTATTTATTATTTTGATACCAGGAATCGAACTCAGGACTCCTTTCTGGCCAGGCAGGCACTGTCCCGCTTAACTACATCTCCAGCCCTAAATCCAGGTTTCACAGGCAACCCACTGACTAAACACTGGCGTTGCACAGTCCATCAGAGGAGAAGATAACAAGAGGTCATATTTAAAAGGACATAATCTTTACGCACGTTGTGGACCTCTGATGAGATAGCTGGTTGCCTTCACATGATTTTCAGTTTGGTCGTGGCAGAGGGAAGGCATGAAGGAAACGAGAAGAGCTGCCACCAGAACTCCGTAGGGTGGGTTGAAGAACGAAGAGGAGCACCACCCCGAGCAGCCAGAAAGAGATACTGGGTAGCGGAGGAAACAAGGAGAGATCTAGGCCGGGCGCACAAGAGTGAGCACAGATGATCATAGCCATGGCTGCCTAGGGGTTTTGGTCCTCCAATTTCACAAACTGCTTCCTCTGTACAGCGCTGTGTATTTCAAAGCGCTGCAACCTCAGGCGCACGTTGTCTAAGCGCCTCCCCAACGCCGGTGAGCGACCGCGGGCCAGACGCCCACATCGTTTTCGGGAGAAGAAAACCGAGCTCAGCCTTGAGGAGGGCGCGAGGGCTGAATGCACGCCGGAGGGGACAAGCGCACTCACTAAGCGGCGGCCCACGGGGATGCCCACTGTCTCAGGCCGAGGATCGTGTCTCGGCCACCCGAGGGGCCGCAGGGAGGCATCAATCGGAGCGAGCCCTGGGCTCCAGGAGGAGCCGGCTGCGGGCGGCAAACGCCGACGCCGCGCCGGTGTCAACAGGCCGATCCAGCCTCGCAGCGTCCTGGACGCCCTTGCCTGGCGAGCCGAGGGCCCTCGAGGTCCGCAGGACCAGGAGAACTCAGGCCGCAGCCGCTGCCGCCGCTATAGCTACTACCTGGACGCCGTGCACGATGTACACCTTCTCCGCCTCGCTCAGCGACACGGACGCCATGGTGCTGAGCACGCGCGCGCATGCGTCATCCGTCCGCGACGGGCACGCGCCCTTGCGTCATCGACCTGCGCCGCGGCCGCTCCTGTAGCCGCGGCCGCAGCCAGCGCCGGGATCTCCATGGGCTTCTTCTGCGCGTCGCCGGGTGTGTGGCCGAGCCTGGCGAGCCGCGGCACCTTGTGCCGAGCAGTCATCGCCACAGCCCGAGGCCGGGTCCCGAGGCAGGGACGACAAGGGGAGGCGACGGCGGCGGCGGCGGGAGCCCCACCGGGGGTCTGGGACTGGGAACTGCCACCGGCTTCGCGGTCAGTGGGGACGGAAGCTGGGCCGGGCGAGGGAGCTGGAGAGGCGGGAGGCCGGGCTCTCGCGGGCGCCGGCGCAAGCTACGGGTACTCGGAGCTGGAGTTGGAGTAGCGGAGAGAGACTGAGAGGGAGGGAGAGAGGAGGACCCCCCCCCCCGCGCCCGGCGAGGGGAGGCGATGTCGTGATTGGCCACTTCCTGGGTCCCCGGGATGTGTAGCAGATGAGGCGACGGAGCCCGTTTAGGTCACTCGGCATGGGAAAGGGCTGGGCCCGACGCGGGGCGTCCTCACTGCCCCCCAGGGGTGAATCCCCACCCCCGCCCGAACCTGGACCCAGGATCTCGCATTGTCCTTTGCTTCGGGTGGTATCAGGACTATCGTCCCAAAGAAATCAGGCGGGGAGGATCTGAGTAACTGGTGACGCGAAGTGCGCGGTGCCCGGGGCGTCTCCGCACTTCCGGAATCCCCGGCGGCGGAGGGGATCGCCCGAGCTGAGAAGCTGCCTGAAAATGAGCAGCGCGGAGTGGCGCCCAGTGAGAGTATGGGCCTCATACACTCAGGCAAGATACCTGCAAGGTGAAGCTGAGGTCACCTTTAGGGGCCGGTGGAAGAGGAGCAGACGGGGTACATTGCAAGCTTTAAAGGAGCCAAGCGGGTGAATGAGGGGAAAGTTAAACCAAACTGGTTGAAACTTCATTTTTTTTTCTTTTTAAATTTTTGGAATTGAATCCTGGACTTTGGCATTGAGTGACACCCCCTACCCTGTCCTTTTATTCTTATTTTTATTTTGAGATAGTCTCTTGTTAAGTCTAAGTTGCCCAGTTTAAATTTGAGTTTAAATTTGAGATCCTCCTGTCTCACCCTCCCAGGCTGCTGGGGTTGCAGGTGTACAGCAGTACACCCAACAAAACTTCACTTTCTTGATGTCCCAGTTTTGAAGGCTCTCCCTGTTCTCAATAGTAAAATTAATGCTTGTCACCTTTGTTTTAAACGGTAAGTGTTTCTAGGATAATGGCTTCAAATGCAGTATTCTTGGGAACTTACTATAGGTGGGCATTGTGCTGGTTTTGGAATACTAAAATGAGCAAAACATAGCATCCACCCAAAGGCACTCCCCGGTCAGCAAGGGTGCAGGATGTGGTGGTTAGAGCCAGGGTGATGCCGTCAGTGGCTGTAGTGGAACTGAACAGTGTCTAAAAGTTATGGGAAGGAAGTGCTTAACCACATTAGCCACCTCTTCTGTCTCTGCAGAGCTCTCTCTGCCTGCACCCAAGGAGCTGAGCTCTGCCCTCCCCATAGAATTGGGAGCCATGAGACTAGCAGGGATCCCTTCCTAACGAAGGCGCAGGTGCCCTGTCTGGAATAGCACAGAGAGGCCTTTGTGTGCCTATACGGCAGTTCTTTGCAAAGACTCTGGGATGGCAAGGAACTCCTCTGGTGCCAGAGAAAGCATAGAGACCCAGGATGTAGAATTTCAAACCTAAGACATCTAAAGGAAATAGCAAATTGACAGATGAGAGGAGACATGGGAGAAAATCAGAATTTGGATACAGTGGAGTCATTTTGTTTTCAGTTGTTAAAGATGTATTCCGTGGGCGGGGGGTTTAGCTCATGTTTAGCTCGTGGCAGAAGCACCTGCCTGACAAGTATGAGATTGTGCGTTCGATCCCTGGTACCGCCTCCTAAAATATTCCATACAGTTATTTTTTTGTACTGGGAGTTGAACTCAGGACCTTTTATTGCCAGAGATGTGCTTGTGCTGCCCTACAGGTATTTTTATAAAAAGCTTTTCCATATTTTTTTAAAATATGGAAGAGGACTAGGGAGGTAGCTCAGTGGTAGAGTGCTTATCTAGCATATGTGATGACCTCAGTTTAACCGCCAGCACTGCAAAAGTAATAAAAGTTTTTTTTAAAGTACAGAACAGACAGGCATGGTGGTGCAGACCTGTCATCCTAGCACTTGGAAGCTGAGGCAGGGGGATTGCTGCCAGTTCCAGCCAGCCTGGACTACATCGTGAGTCCAAGGCCAGCCTGGGCTATGTAGTGAGACCCTGTCTCAAAAAAAAAACAGGGGCTGGAGGTTTAGCTCAGCGGCATAAGCACCTGCCTTGCAAGCAGGCGGTCGTGAGTTCGATCCCCGGTACCGATAAAAATGAAAAAGACAAAAAAAAAAAAAAAAAACGAAAAAGGATTTATTAAAAGTATAGAACACATATTTGATCCATCTCCTAACAGTTCACAAAAAGTTCCTGTCTGCAAGAGGGTCAGGGTACTTGCTGAGTAATGTTGAATGTTGTCTTGTGTATGAGGTCAAGTTAGGTGTAAAGAAATGTGAACAGCTGCAGGTTCATGTTAAAACCCTGTTAAAAACTTCACTAATCATTCTACTTAAATGCTGCAAAAACATTTTTATCACCTTTGTTGTGGTAGTGCATTAGATGTTTTTAAAACTTACAAATTCAGAGTCCTTTTTAAGTTTATTAAAGCAATTCTAAGAATAATCGAGATGCCTAGGGCGGTGCGCTGTTGTGTCCGTCAGCTTGTTTTCCCATTACTGGCAGAGTTTCAGGGCTCAGTGTTTCACAGATGTGTCTGTCCTCAAGCTCTTTCCTGTCTTCATTTTCCCTACACCATTCCTAATTCTTACTGCGAGTCCTTGTAAGAGCTCTGTAAAGCCTGCTTTACAGATTGAGAAACTGAGGCACAGAACAACTCAATGCCTTGAACAAGGTCACAGATAACGTAATCACCGTAGTAAATGGGACAGCCAGGAATTACATCTCTACCCTTTGTGTCCCAGCTCCCTCCCCTCCCGCCCTCCAGACCATCCCCTTCTGCAGCCTCCCCCCAACTCCTCATCACCAGTGTATTTGCTGATGTGCTATTGGTAACTGCCCTGAAAACCACAATTAGGTTTAATTCCCAAAGCCAGTCTGTTCCCAGCCCTTGATACTTTTCTCTAGAGGAACGTGAAATGTGATGCCAATGGACAGATGAGATGTTTCAATGTTCATTTCAGCCCATCCTGCTAAATAAAGAGAAAAGTTAGCCTGGCACGGTGGTACATGCCTGTAATCCCAGCACTTGGAATGCTGAGGCAGGAGGGTTGCCTTGAGTTCAAGGCCAGCCTTAACTGAATAGCAGAACCTGGTCTCAAAAAAAATAAGAGACAGTGAAAAGTAATATGCAGGAGGGTAGAATGTAGCTCTCCCAGCTAAGAAGGGAGTCCACAACAGCACAGTGGAGACGTGGCTCTGGTGCCTAGAGCTGACCAGGCAAGCATGGGGAGCCAGCCTGTAGCCCTGTGCCTCACTCCCAAAGAGGTCATCGAGAGGCTGTCCAGTCAGATAGTGTTCACAGGCCTGGGGTCCCTAGAGTGTTCTCAGAGGCCTGAGGAGCTAGGACACCCTAAACACCTGCCCGAAAGGAAGTAAGGTGGGGAACCCTTGAACTAGTGCAGGAACAAGACAATAAAGTGCTCGATTGAGCCCCGTGGTAATTAAAAGCGAGGCCAGCTATAATGAGATGCTAATTGTGCAGGGCAGGCATCAAGAGGGAAAGAGAAAGCTGCCGCCAGCTACTAGGCACTGGCAGGCCACAGCAGCATTTCGGAGATGGGTAAATCCCCAGCCGTGGTTAATTAAAGCCCTAAACACCAGTTACCAGTTACGGGAGAGCTTGGGGCGGTTTTGGGCCCAGGGTGCTGGAGTTGGAAAGAGCTCTTGAAAGCCCAGCAGGAGGTGTTTTACTCCAAGGCCAAGCGTGAGGCCTTTTCCTTTGCATTCTCACCCTTTGCGGCACCCTAGAAAAGCACTGTGCTCCCTGGAGATCTGTTCCTTGGTGTTTGTCTGCCTTGTACCTTGTCTTAAAGAACACTGGCTACAAATAAGCTTACCCAGTCTGGCCAGCAGGCCTGTGTCTGTCTTGTTCGAGGCATTGGATAACATCCCAGCTAGAGAAAGGTTTGGAGTTCAGTGTGGCTGTGCACACTTGTAATTCCAGGACTGGGGAGGCTGAGGCAGGAGGCTCGTTGTTAGCTCAACTACATTAACAAGTCCCTGTCTCAGAAATAACCAAAACAGAGGCAGGGTCTCAATGTGTGTTTCATTTTAAGAAGCTGGCAGCGGACTGGGGATTTAGCTCGGCGGCATAAGCACCTGCCTTGCAAGCAGGCAGTCGTGAGTTCGATCCCCGGTACCGATAAAAAGAAAAAAAAAAAAAGAAGCTGGCAGGGTGCTTTGCCTGTGCTCTGTAGAACATGGTATATGAAAAGAAGATCACATATCCTGACTGTCAAATATGGAATATTTGAACACACATACACAAGCTGATAGCAGTACGCAGTAGTCTGAAGTCGAAATGGGGGAGGGCATATCTCAATATTCATGCATGGCAGGGTCTGCTTTCTTCCTGGTTTTTCTTCCTTTTTTCCTGAGATAGGGTCTCACTATGTAGTTCATACTGACTTTGAACTCACTGTGTAGCCCAGGTTGGCCTCGGAACTCATGGCAATTCTCCTGCCTCAGCCTTCTGAGTGCTGGGAACCCAGGCATGTGCCACCATGCCTGGCTGGATTTGTGTTTTTAAAAATCACTTGCTTTCCTTTTGGAAGCAAGTTTCTAGAGACAAAAAGCCAGGTCATTCCTGCTATCAAATGAAGATGATGAGATGTGTGATCCTAATTTAATATTCATCCCAACACAACTGAAATGCCAGGAAAATTCCATCTTTTTGTGACCTCCACACCATAGCCTTCAGGATAGAGAGAGACTAGGTGATTGAACTGGGGACTTTCTGTGCTCTCTAAAAAGTTTCTAGCTCCTGCTCCGGGTCAGCAGGGATGGAAGATATGGAGGTGAGGTCAGTTTCTTGCTTTAGCAAAGCAACCCCAGTGCAATCTGTGTGCTTCAGGCCTGGACCTGGTCCCCTGATTCCTGGGCTTTCCTGTGGGAAATGTGTAGCATTGGTAGCCAAGAACCTGGAAAGACAGGCTGCTAAGCA